GTTTAAATTTGATGGGGAAATCTTTGAAATGTGAACCAAACATTGGGCAATCCCTAAAATAAATAATTCCCTATTTTGTGGTACTGGGGATCAAACCCCATGCCTCATATGTGCTAGGTAAGCACTCTACCACTGAGCTACAACCCCGGCCCCATATTTTCTTGATGATAATATCCCCAAAGAGATTTTTTTAAAGGCCATCTGAATATATAAACTCTTAGGAATATAAAGACTACAATCCAGAATGAATCCCAGCTTCATTAACATTTGAGCCAAATAGTTTTTCATTGTATGGGCTCTTCTGTGTTGTTAGCAGCATCCCTAGCGGTTAGTCAGCTTTTCTTCACTGTGACCAAAATACCTGACAAGAATAACTTAGAGGAGAGCTAGGGATATAGCTCAGTAGTAGAGCTCTTGCCTAACACTTGTTAAGCCCTGGGCTCAGTCCCCACCATTGTAAAAAAAACAGACACACCACAACTTCCTGAGTACTGAGACTACAGGTATGAGACACCATGCCTGGCTAAAAGACATGGGGTTAAGAAGTTTATTTTGTTTCAGAGCTTCAGTCCATGGTCAGCCACGGCTATAGCTCTGGGTTGAGGTGAGGCAGAAGATCATGGTGAAAGGGCATGGCAGAGGAAAGCTGATCAGCTCATGGTGGCCAGGAAGGGCGGGGGGAGGAGAAAAGCCAGGGATCCCTAAGGGCACAATCCCAGTGATCTACTTCTTCTAGCCACACCCCATCTGTCTACAGTTATAACTCAGTAATCTATTCAAATGATGAATCTGTTAAATGTGTTGATCCATTGATTTGGTTACAGCTCTCATGATGTAATGTAATGTGGGAGTGTTCACCTCTGAACACTACCCACATTGCCTAACTTTAGCTTTTCAGGGGACACTTCATATTCAGACCATAAAACTGGTCTTTACCTACCAGATGCCAGTAGCTCATGCACACACACACACACACAAACACACACGCACACACACACACACACACACACACCCTGCCTGCTACTGTGGCCACCAAAAATGTCTCCAGATGTTGACAAACATCCTCTGGAGTGTAAAATAGCCCTGGCTATGAATCACTGGTATATTCAAATGCCTACTTAAAATATTTAATTTATTCCTTTAGTTATCCACACACTTAAATATTTTAGGAAATAGTTTATTATTTTATAAATATTGCCTTTTATTTTTTTTCCAGGGCTGAGGACCAAATCCAGGGCCTCATGCATGTTAAACAAGCTCTCAACCACTGAACTAAATACCCAACCCCTAAATAGAGCTTTTTTATACTCTCAAATTTTGAATTTTTGAAACAAGTTGATTCAAAACTTTACATTACATCTTCAATGTCAATATCTCCATTGTTATTGTAGTCCCTTTTCTGGCATTAATTAATGTTCCAGAGGACATCATTTTCACTTCCATTGACACTGAATGAAATATAGCACTTAACAAATTAAAAAAAAAAAGAAATATAGCACTTAACCTCCTACTAAGATGCTATCAGAGGAAATTACAGCCCATTATCCATTATTATAACATTGAAGCAGTTTTCTTTTCATTGTTGTTTTGATCTACAAAATCCAAACAAGTGCTGAAATGTTTTAAAAAACAAACAATGATAAAGGTTTTTATCTTAAAAATTGAAAACACATACAAGAGTGCACTTAATGGTATAATGGATTCCTATGTACCCTCGGACAGTTTCAACAATAATCTATTTATTTTATTCCAGTGAAGTGTGTTCCATCTTATTTTGAAGCAAATCCCAAATATAGAATTTCATCTGTATATGTTTTGTGTGTCTCTCTAAAAGATAAAAATTCTTTTTTTTAACGTAACTGTGAAACAATTAACATACCTAATAATAAATATTTCTATCTCAATATAATTGAACGTCCCAAAAGTGTTCGCATTTCCTAATTTTTCATAAATTTCTTTTTTTTTCTTCCATTTGATTGAATCAGGATCCAAAAAACATTCAAATGTACTAATTGGTTGCTGTGTTTCTTAATTCTCTTTTCATCTACAGTGTTTCCTTTCACCTTTTTTTTTCACTTAGAATTTACTTGCAGAAGAAGTGAGATTGTCCGTTCTGAAGCATTCTCTATTGTCTGAGCTTGTTGGGTGTGTCCCAACAACCTGGTCCTCTCTGTGTTTTCTCTAAAGTGGTGGTTGAACTTGCTTATTTTTTTATTATTTACTTTTTAGTTTAAGTGGACACAATATCTTTATTTCATTTTTATGTGGTGCTGAGGATTGAACTCAGTGCCCCACGTACGCTAGGCGAACTTGCTGATTCTATTTGCACTTTTTTAGCAAGACTCTTTCATAGATAGTGCTATGAGTTGTGCACCCACAAGGACAACTTTATCAGGAAAAATTTCAAATATACACAAAGAGAAGAGTATGATAAATCTCTACACACCCATATTGGTTTCCTATACCCGCTGTAACGAGTTCCCACAGACTTGATGGCTTAACCACATACATTTATTCTCTGAAACTTCAGAAGTCCAAAATCTCTGGGCCAAAATGAAGACAACACAGCAGGGCCATCCTCCCTCCTGAAACTCTACAGCAGAATCCAGTCCTTGTCTCATCTGGTTGCTGCTGGATTTCCTGGGTTATGGGCACACCACTCTGCTGCTGTGGCCACATTACATTTTCCTCTTCGGTCTGTGTCAAATCTCCCTCAGGCTCTCTCTCATGTGGGCACTTGTGATTGTATGAAGAAGGCCCACTTGGATAATCCAAGTTAGTTTCTTCCACTCAAGATCATTAATTTAGGAACTGGGGTTATAAACTCAGCAGTAGAGCACTCACCTAGCATGTTTGAGGCCCTGGGTTCGATCCTCAGCACCACCTAAAAATAAATAAACAAAATAAAGTTAAAAAAGAAAGATCATTAATTTAGCTGGGCATGGTGGCACATGCCTATAATCCCAGTGATTTGAGAGGCTGATGACAGGAGGATTGAAAGTTGGAGATCAGGGGCTGGAGTTATGGCTCAGTGGAGAGTGCTTGGATGAGGCCCTGGGTTAGATTTTCAGCACCACATACAAATAAATAAAATAAAGGTCCAACAACTAAAATATTTAAAAAAGAGAGAGAGAGAGAGAGAGAGAGAGAGAGAGAGAGAGAAAAGAAAGTTGGAGATCAGCCTCAGCAATTATGGAGACCCTATCTCAAAATAAAAAATAAAAAGGGCTGGGATGTAACTTGGTGGTAAAGTGCTGCTGGCTTAAATCCCTAGTATTTATCAATCAATTAAATTGAATAAAAAATAAAAAGTAATCTTTACAAATTTCAGGGTTAGGACCTAATATCTTTTTTTTAAATGTATTTATTTATTTATTTGTTATTCTAATTTGTTATATATGACAGCAGAATGCATTATATTTCATATTACACATATAGAACACAATCTTTCTTATCTCTGGTTGTATACAAAGTAGAGTCACACTATTCGTGTCTTCATACATGTACTTAGGGTAATGATGTCCATCACATTCCACCATCTTTTCTACACCTATTCCCCCTCCCTTTCCCTCATACCCCTTTTGCCCTATCTAGAGTTTGTCTAATCCTCCCATGCGCCCCCACAACCCCATTATGAATCAGCCTCCTTATATCAGAGAAAACAGTCGGTATTTGTTTTTCTGGGATTGGCTAACTTCACTTAGCATTATATTCTCCAACTCCATCCATTTACTTGCAAATGCCATGATTTTCTTCTCTTTTAATGCTGAATAATATTCCATTGTGTATATATACCACATATTCTTTATCCATTCATCTACTGGAGGGCATCTAGGTTCCATAGTTTATCTATTGTGAATTGTGCTGCTATAAACATTGATGTTGCTGTGTCCCTATAGTATGTTGTTTTTAAGTCCTTTGGGTATAGACAGAGGAGTGGGATAGCTGGATCAAATGGTAGTTAATTTTTGTGTGTGTGTGTGTGTGTGTGTGTTACTGTGGATTGAACCCAGGGCCTGTGCATGAGAAGCAAGCACTCTACCAACTGAGCTATATCCCCAGCCCCACAGGACCTGATATCTTTAAGTCTGTTATTCAGACTACTATAATAACGTTTCCCAGATTCTATAATTATCAATGTTCAGCAACATTCTCTATTTCTTTTCTGTTTCTCTTCTTCCTTCTTGCTAGAATTCTCTTTTTTTTTTTGGCGGGCTCCTGGGGATCAAATCCAGGGCCTCATGAGCACTCTACCACAAGCCACACCCCCCCAGGCTTTTAAAATTTTATTTTGAAACAGGGATAACTATTTTGACATAGCCAACTAAATTGCTAAGGCTGGCCTTAAATTTGTAATCCTCTTGCCTCAGCCTCCTGAGTAACTTCGATTACA